CTAACCTTAACATAAACGAACTTAAAGAATTTTGTCGGACATCACGTGATGGTAAAAATTTTGTTGGCGATACTGGGAAGATTTCGATTGGGGGACGCCGGGACGTTTGTACCAAGCCTGACGACACCTTGGCGGATCCAAAGTTCGGGTGCAGATTACACAGAACAGCCAATCAAAATCGTTTACTAATTATATGCTGCAGCAATGACCATCAACCCAAACTTCGGAGGGGCCGTCCTGGTGTTGTCCATGTTTGATTATGATTAAATTTGATTCCGTCATGATTAAAGAGACAGAGATAATTTGATTAATAAATTCTAAATCACATAATTTTACTTCACTCACGTTGTGAATGAAATTAAGAATTCTATGATTAGCTAAAGAAGTATAATAATAAATATAAAACAATATCCAATCCAATTTCGGATCTGAATTAGTGTTCCGCAAGAAAGTTCTGAACAGATCCAGTATTTTAATGGGCATTTTACACAGGGCACTTGAACCAAAACTGTATATATAATTGAATATGGAAAATATACTACCAGCAATAGGCACCCCTTGTCCCTCACTCGTACCCTAGCCAAACTCACTGCATAAATTGGATCCGGGTCTGGGTCTGAATTGACGATTTTGGAATATCTGCTACTGGCGGATAGACGCTTGTGAGAGGCACATGGAACCTGTCGCAGGTAGTATATATTCAGTTTCAGTCCTGGTACCCTACATGATATTTTACATTTATGCCAGTTAAAAATACCGGATCCATTCGGATCTCTTGTGAAATTCAGATCCGAAACTAGATTAGGTACATACGTAATTTTTTATTTATTATAACACAGTATATTTATTTAGCAATTACAGGATTTTTAACCATGCTAATAGTATATGTATATTAAAATGTATATAAAGTAAATATTATCATTAAGCATTGCCTATTTCGAAAAAAAGTTTTTTTGATTATGATAAAGCTTTGGCTAGATGATAGGCAAAATTTGAGTGATAAATCATTACAAATGTCATTTATACTTCAATAAAAACAAATTTAAATATCAAAGAAAATATTTTTTATAAAGTAAAGATTTTATTTAATATTATGTGCTTTAATATATGAAAAAAAGGTTTAAGTTCGGATATTATGTGCAGCAAAATAATAAAAAATGAATCGGGTACTTCAATGCATGAAGAAAAAAGGTTTAGGTTCGGATATTATGTGCAGCAAAATAATAATTGAATTGATAATTTTATTATTAGTTAGTAATAAACTTTATATCGTATTAATTCCATGTCTCTGACAGGATATTCATTTAATGTGGTAAATAACTTAAGATTTGTCACACAAATCACATGTAAAATTTTTTTGACGCACCTCATTTGACCCAAACAAATCCCCAAGTTGATGATATGTTTTGGTTAAATGAGACACATTATATTAGTAAAACAAATAGTATTGCATACGTAAATCGTAACAAGAGTCGTGATTATAGTTGTGACCCGAAACCCGAAACCTTTCCGAAACCTTCCCGAAACCTTCAAATTAGAATGTTAAAAATTAATACTCATTTGTTATAAAGTAACTAAAAAAACTCTTGGAATGCAATCTAATTATCATATACTTTAAGTTTTAAAGTTTAAATCTAAATTTTCTAAGCTTTTCAGTACAGTATTAGAGTTTCGGAAAAGGTTTCAGGTTCGGTTTCGGGAATTTATATATAGTTTCGGGTTTCGGGTCACAACTATAGTCGTGATCAAGATTAGTTGTCGTTTTATTTTTGACCACTCTTATAGTTTTGTGAAAAGAATCTTCAAATGCTAGAGGATAAGCAAGCCTTTGCTTCAAAATCAAACACACAACTCCTTTTTACTAAACAAGAGTCGGGAAGCATATTTGACTCATATTTTAATATAAAATTTAGGTACGATGATCCCATATTAAAAATTTTACATGTGAAAATCGTGTGACTGATATAAAAAGCTTGAATAACCCGATTTTTAATATAAAATTTAGTATCGAACAATTTCTAAAAATCGATTAAGATTTACTGAAAATAAATGTATTATTACCAACGGTTTGATAGCTGTCAACTAATTATGCACACAATGAACTTTTCTGAATGCATTTCTCCTAAGATTACAGTAAACGCGTATTTGTTTTTGAGAAGCGTCCAATTATGGAAGATATTTTATTATAAGCTCTATAAGGCTAGGTTTAGATCAAATTTATAAAGATATACATAGAGAATGCACTTAAGGAGAGATCACAATACAGTGCTAATACTTTTGCTGCACAAACAATCAAGCTATTTATACCATACCAATTGTTTAATATTTATTGTGATTATATAAGACGGAGACTTTATTTAAAAATTAAATTTATGAAAACATACATGTAATATCATATGAAAGGTAATATCATATGAAAAGTAATAACATATGAAAAGGTAATAACATATGAAAAAATGTATTAAAACAGAATTTAATAATAAACATATAAATAATGAAAAGCTAATGACGTAAAGAAAAAAATACGATGCATTTTTCTAAATCATACATCACGTGAAACTTAAACGCGAGCGCATAATTAAATCTTGACATGTCTGTCAACAGACTGACAAAGAATTCTATCATTATAATAATTTAATTTTGTTAGGCTTATATCGAGTTGTTGTATATGGGGAATATACTTATTAGTAAAAGAAACGAAGTTATTAGGATATGAAAAATTTTGTGCTGGTTGCGAATCATAAAAGGGTACAGGAATATACGGATCATAACGAAAAGAATTTTGCAAACGTTTTTTACGATTAGGTTGATATTTATAATCCGGCCACATAAATGCATGGACGGCTTTTGCGATTTTAGAAACTTTTATATAAACTTGCTTTATCTCATTTTCGCACGTCCACATACGAAAGGCTGTGTTCGAAACTATTTTCATACAAGTCTTATCATCAGGAGATGTCATACAGTTATGCAAATATTTTCTTAAATATTTTCTAAAAATCATTCCGTTCGAAGTCATCCTCAAGTCCGTTTGAGATTTCATGTTAGCCTGTAGGTCTTTTCTAAAGATCAAAAAACAATTTTGAGCCCTAGGTGGACTAGCACGCTTCGGTTTAAGACTTGGGACTATTAAGTCGTGTAAAGAGAGAAAAGTCATCGACTCAATTTCCTGACGTTCATCTAACTTTACGATTTTCGAGATTATGGTTTCTAATTCTTCAGAATTTGGAAAGTTTCGGATTGGACAAGATTGTGTGGATGAAGAAGCATAGTTTTGACGCGATAATTTTATAGTCATGATTAAGATGCGAAAAAAGGACTTCGAAAAAAATATATTAAACCGCAAACACTTGTCAACAAAAAAAAAAAAGAAAGAAAGGCAGGGCAAAAAACCTTTCTTTATATAGATGTTTCCATTCAGAAGCCATCTTGTTAAAGAATTGTATGTTTATAGTTACATATTTGATTCTAAATAATTATGAAGTACAAAACTTCGAAGTTGTCGGATTGCGTAAGATGACAACACTAAAAACTTGACAAAAGAAAAAATTGATATAAGCAAGTGACTGAATTAGAACAAATAGCGACTAAACTTAGCGTAGCATGTAAACAAAAAAGCGTAGTGTATTTAACTGATTTAAAATTATAATTATGTCAATGTGATTCAAAAAAGAAACTAAAAATACTAAGCCCAACATCCAAGATACATCCCACCTAAGAAGTACGGAACTTGATGCATTCAATTTTAACCGATTTTTTTTTTTTTTTAATAATTTATATATAAAGCTTCTATTAAATGGAGTCGATAATAGTTTAGCACTCAACCAAACCCCTTAATCACTGAAATATTGTTACTAATTTATTTATTCTAGGTTTTTGTTTTTAGTCACACACGTGGATACTGATTAATAAAAAAAAATAATTTGGCAATTAGAAATCTAGCCAAAGACACGAATCAGTCTAACTAAAATTGTGAATGGGATGGGACGGTGAGAATCGTCGATAATGTATTAAATGTTAACTTCAATAAGATCATGTTATATATGTATCACTGAATGAATTATTTATTAAGATTAAGAATATGCTATAATTCTATCATACCGAGAAGCAATAAAGAAATATAAATGCCGAATATACTGTATAAATCTGACAAAGAAAGTGTTGCGTGATCATTATTTAATGTTTAAATGCATGCATAAATTATTTTTAACTTTTATACTGAATTTCTACTTTAGGCAAATCATTTGTTATTTTTATACCGAATTACTAATTTAGGTAATAATATTAATCGCCATATTTATTTGGTATCATGATACACGAATAATAACTTCTAAGTTTAAAATACATTTTCATATTTTATCGCATAGTTTCGACCATAAAACATTATACATAGCATCCCATTTGATCAAGTATAACTGCAGATACCTGATTATTATGTATAATCTTATAATATATAATATGATATTTAGTAGAGTAATTATATATTAATTTTCCAGTTAGAAATTCATTAGTGGGAAAATGATATTTTTAATTAATATGAGATTAACAAAACGTTGACGTCGCTTTATCAATTGGATCGATAAATTAAATCCAGACCTGTTTCTTGGTTTGCTTAGACCATATTAAATAATTCTAAATCAAGAATGTACAAAAAAAACCAACCAATTGGTAGCTAATCAGATCTAAGTTTCATACAAATATATATATACAGTAAATTAGATTGCTTACCAAGTTTAGACTAGTAGGTTTATAAAACTAGGAAATTGTATCCAAAATTAGTTATCGATCAACAGAATAAAAAATTCCGTACGTGAGTACGATATATTTAAATATGTTGAACTCCCATTCGATTGTATCCGTTACAATTGCATCAATGATGACAACCAATGTGATTTGTCATTACTAATCATATAAATTTCCATTTCATAACTGAATGAATGAACTGATGAGAAGATTGTTTTTTTTCCCTAAACGGTTACTCAATTGATGGCAGTAAATCTTTACACATTAATAATTGGATCAATAATGGACACGTTGTCACGGTTACACAAAAACATAGTCAAAATATCGATATTCAAATCAACGATATAATATATTGCACGCAAAGTAATACAATATAAATGAATACTTGGTATAAAAAAAATAACCGGGCCCGGCCAAAATCTTCTTATATCGAGATTTCTTATATTAAAGGTAAAATTGTCAATTGGAACTTGTAAAATCTTTCTTATATCAAGAGTTTCTTATATTGAAAGTTTCTTATATCGAGAGTTGTACGTATACGTATATTATTCGTCAAATAATTATCATAATTTGTGTTATGTTTTGTGTAATCGGGACAATCTTTTGGAGGCAACTGTACGTACGTACGTATGTACATACATTTTAAGTTCATTTGATAGTTACACGACTTAAATTGCATTAATTCATGTATGTGGAATTCATAACGTCATATAAGTATTTTTAGGATTTTCGAGAAACGAAACGAATGAGGATAGAGTGAATTCGAAACATGTGTTTAGTATAAATCGCGAAAATTATTTTAGCTCATCAACAAAATATAAACGAAAATTTTTACACTGTTTATCCAGCAGATAAATTTAGAGAACAACGATAGATTTGACAATATTTTAATAGAAAAGAATGATTGTCATATCGATAATTTGTAAATTAGATTATAAAAATGTTTTCAGTGAAAAATTATTCGATGAATATAAAATACAATAGGATCTATATTCTTTGCTTGAATATTTGTTCGTTAATCATCATATTTATTGTGTTTACAAATCTGAATCTATTTTCCTCCTTAATTTAACCGATAGTAAACCTTATATGATTTAGAGAAATTTTTTTCATCAATGGCATAAAAAATATTTACGTAATGCTAATAAAAATGAATGAACAAATAAATGAAGCAGTGTCCTATTCACATTATATCTGTACAAGAAATTTTCCCCATATTCAACTTTTTAACAATTAAAAACGATAGCAAATAATAGCATTCGTATCAAGTTACTGGAACTTATTTGAACTATCTTTTCCTATTCTTAGATTCGACTAGCGTGTTTTGGGAGTTGAATTTAAAATGTGTTTATTTAATATTGTCAGAAATAATAGTATATATTTTACATTATTATTAGAATGGAATATTCGTAATCTTAGATATAGCATAATAAACATGGATCAAAATTAGTGATACGGACCGATGCCAGAACTCTGGGCCAGCCGATCTTTACTAGCAATATTTACAACTATTATCATATTCCTAAAATATCTGATAGAAATGAGCCGAATGATTTTTCACTCAATTCTGTTAAGTTTGTGATTTCGTAATAATACATTTAATAAATTGATATAATCTAAAACCATATAAAAAAAATTTAGAATGCTTATTAGTTCGAAAATTGCAAAACACTTAAGTACTACGTAGTAGATCTTCTATGAGTTGAAAATCTCCGTCGTTTTAGGAAACCTCGTTTACATCTGACAAATTTTTGATGATATATTAAATTAGCACTTATTCGTGCAATATATTTATTATAAAGTACTGCCTTTTCAGTCAATTTTCGTACAAATTAAACATACCAAACATGAACAAGCATTCGAGCAAAAATTTAATAAGTCGACATTCACCATCGTCATAAATATATGTGAAACAATCATTATTATACAAAACTAGCCTTTATTATATAAATCATGCCGAAATTACAGACTTAACCGAATTGCCGAAATTCATTCAGCTGGTTTTTATAAGGTGTTCCAGAAATTATGTAATTATCAATTTCAATTAAAATATTGACATTTCGTTTATTTTATGAAATTGAAAAAATCTTTTAAATTTAATTAAGATTTAGCGTCAATAAATAAATAAATAAATAAATAAAACCTAATTTAGTGTTTAACAGTTAGCGTCGAATACATTGAATAATAAACATTAATGTACAATATAGAGTCTTTGCTTCCGATCGGGTTAATTCGGACCGAAATAAACCCGAGTACCGGTTCATGTTCATATTTTAATCATCTTTTAACTTTATTGATTGATTCAATTCAATAGTTTATCGAATAACTATTGAATCAATGTAAAAGATAATTAACATATGAATGTGAACCGGTACTCGGGTTTATTTCGGTCCGAATTAACCCGATCGAAAATTTCGGAAGGTGATTTTCAAGGCAAAGACTCCCATATATATTTATAATGCGTCAAAATAAAGTATAAAATGCATATTTAAAAAAATTTATTGTCCAATAAGAAAATGTCGCCAAAATAAAAAATCCGCATTTATATTATGATATATTCCTGTGACGAACATTAGTTCAAAAGACTCTATAATCTAGATAAACAGACCTGAATAATAAAAAACCCGTACTTGTACCGTTTTTCATCTTCAAAATAAAAAAAAAAAAAAAAACTTAATTATGCATCGGCAGAGATTTTTTAAAAAAAACTTTTATTATTAATTATTGAATTTAAAGCTTCAAATTTAATACTTGAATATGTTTGGTTCTTGCGTTGTTTTGGCATGTCAACCGTAATAAGTTTTGATTCATAGATCGTATATATAGCATTAAAGCGATGAAATTTTTTAAAATTATATAATTTGATTGGTTAATTATCACGGGTGATCACGGGTAGATCCATAAAAATTATCCAATCAAACGAATTTCTTCCTTTAAGGTACAAATTTTTTTTTATGCCAGGCACGGAGTGAAACGAAGAGTTACAGACAAGTGAATGGCACGAAATCGTACATTGTCATGTGAAAATTATTCCGTAAAGATTTACAAGTTTTTAACTTGTATTTATGCTAAATTTAAAGTCGTGCCAAATTACATTGCATAAATCGTATTCTTGATAAATCATATTCTTGATATTTTTATAAACCACTAACCAGACACGGCTTTAGCCATCCTCTAAATTTAGATAAAGCTTGTGCTATGTATTACTTCTATATATCC